TGGTTTTGAAGTAAAATTCAAAGTACATAACTGCATTTTGATTTCCCTTAGCATTATCGGCACGCTGAATGATTGAAATATTTCAAGATGGCTTTACATATATTTAATTGCAAGCTCTTCTGCTTGAAACTAGTGTCTGTTGTACATAGAAGAGAATTATATTTTGTAGACTGTTAAATTGAACTGTCAACTGACTATAGAATTATCGAGCCACGAGAACATATTTAAATTCTCTTATACTTGACAAGAAGGACTGAAAAAAATATGGCACCAGAAATTCCATGTGGCAGGTTGAGAAACGATCAATATATTGGGAGACAGTAGCAGACAAGTTATTTAACTCCTAAAAGCAAGTAGCAGAAACAATACACTGTCTGACGTAATATTGTAGACAGATCGCGGTTGTGCTCTAATAACTTATTTTAACGTTTAGTAAGCTAAAGCAAATAAAGAGCAGACAGTTCAGTACTTCCAATTTTAGTACCCGATGTCTGGAAAAACCGAAAATTTTTAAAATTGTATCATCGATCAAGTCAAGGTCGCTTTTTTACATTCTAGGGTTATTCAATAGGGGAAAACCTGTTGATGCAATGGTATTGATATACCCACACTAAATTTATGACTGCCTTTTCATCTCATTTTCGAACAATTTAAAAAAATAAAAATATACTAGAGCCACTCGTGGCACAGAGTGGGACTTTGCAAATGTAGCAAAATGCAAAAGAACCTGAAAAAATCAACCTTCCACGATAATTAGATCAAGCGCAAGAACGGTCTAAAGTTGAGAACTTTTCATTTTTTAGAAGATTGTAATACCGGAAGTGGACGTCAGACCTCACAAATGAAAGTATCAGCAGATAGCCAAGGTCAATGACCTTTGATCTTGTAAAGGAGAAGGTCTAAAAAGGTCAAGATCAAGAGATATACGCCATCAAAATTTCAAATTGCTAACGACTATAAAACCGGAAGTTGACATAGGACAGCAAATATAAAAGTATAAATAGATAGCCAATGCCAATGACGTTTGATTCTACAAAGGTCAAGGTCAACAAAGGTCAAGGTCAAAAATTGAAAATTTTGAATTTCCAAAACCTGTTCCTTTTTTTGAACTATGAAGCAAAAACAATTGAAATTCTAAGACAAAATGGCTCAAAATTTGAGGTAATAGTGTGCAAAGTTCCATTTTGAATAAATGTATACTTTGCGAGTTATGCCCCTGGCCAAAAATGTCAATAATGAGAAATTTAACCCGGAAGTGCCACGCCCACCTCAATTTTTTTTGAATAGGTTAATTAATATTCAAAATGTTACGTTATATTCCAAATGTCAAGTTCCTACATAATAGAGGTCAAAAGATATAGGTCAACAAAAGTTAACAAAGGTCAAAATTGANAAATGAAAAAAAAAA